AAATGCTCATAAAATTTGCAATTCTTGCTCAAAAGACTCGCTTTTAGGCTCATTAGAAAGCCACAGTCTCTCTCTAAATGTCTTAATAATGATTCAAGGCTTCATTTTCTCTCACAAGGCAGCTATAGTCACTTTGAAATATCTTCTTCAAAGCCACATAGATTCTTTGCAAAGCTGGACACAGCCCCATCACCTCAATGAAAGATCTAGAGACAGAGTTCAGCTTTCTAATGAACCAATAATCGAGTGTTTTCCTTGCCAATTGCAAAATTTATGAGCATTTGTAGATTTCCAATTGTCCTCTCCAATCTGAGGAACCAAATTTCAGCATCTGTTACAGGTGTATATCTGATGAATATGGAGTTTTTTGTTAGTACGTTCAACAATATGCACTCTAAAAATACAGAAAAATACTCAGATTGAAGCTCTCAACACCAGGAACAACAGCCATATTTTTTTGTATTTTTTGCCCTCCTCCTCACCGCTCAATATTTTTGTATATCAATGTTTGCGTTTTCTGCCCGGAAAACATTATATTTTTTGTAGTGTAAGTACCCTTATGTTGTTTTTTTCGTCTCTGCTCTTCCCATTTTCTTGAATTTTTCAGACCTTCCAGTATGTTATTCCTCATCAAGTTGTACATAACATAGTACCATTTACTTTGGTTCAGATGAAGCAGAAGTGCTTTGAAATTGTGATGTAAGATTGGTAATTAAGCAGCTTTTGAATTTCATTCGAGGGATATCCAGCTGGCTTAGGTGGTCTTAGGGCATTTACAACACCGCGTAAGGCCTGTTTTTCGCATCCTCAGCACAGCTCTCAAGCGATGCAGGGATGTCTGTTGCTCATGAAAAGTATATCACAATATGTACAATTTGACAAAGAACAACATACTTGAAGGTCTGAAAAATTGTTGAAAATTGGAAGAGCAGAGACGAGAAAAACAACATAAGGGTACTTAAAACGTGGAGTCACACAGCCAAAAAACCCGTTTTAGTCATAAGCCCCTCTTTTGAGGGCGCGGACGCGGCCGCGCGAGGGGCTTAGTTAAGCTAAAACAATTCCGGTTACGTTGGTAGGTTTAAAGAGCAAAAATTGCTAAAAATCTCCCAGGAGACCAATCCATTCGTTTTTGGTTGGTATGTACGTCCAAAAGACAGTGTTTTCGGGCTTTTTTTTTGGCTCAGGAGAAACCCATACCTGTCACGTCGGTAGGTCTGAATTCCAAAAATCTGATTTTGGCTTGAAAAACCCCCAAAAAATACCTTTTTTGTTGGTACTTTGGCCTTTTTTTCAACCCTCAATCCATTCATTTTACGTTGGATAGTTCACCTGGAGCTTTCCAGGGTCCTGGTGGCGCGGATACAGTCCAGAGCTGCAGCCTTGGAACAAACTTTGGGCTTCACAACAAGATGGATCACTTCTCTTGCAATACTCATAGCTAAGAAGCTGAAAAGGGGCGGAAAATGCATCTTTACCTGTGTTTCTCGCATCACTTTGCGCTCTTCAAAATTGAGATCTTTCTGAGCAAATTTTATATGAGTCATGGATTCTAGAAGGGAGAGTAAACAATATCAAAAACTGAAAGTATGTGCTTTGGTAAGGCACTGAAGCTATTCGGTTCAATCAAATGGTATCATGAGAATACCCAAAGTTTGAATGGATGAAGACCAGCTAGAGATTGGTCCTTCAGTAAAGCTATATCAGGAGAATTTATGTCATAATGATAGTAGATGGAATTGGTTAATAACAATATCACTGGCTTTACGAAGTTTATTTGCTGGCTTGGATATTTCGTGAAACTTTTGCGATCTTTGAGTTGCAGGAAAGAAATCTTCAAAGCCTTCAGCTGCTTATGTCAAAATCTCTCGACCTCAACCCACATGATCCCTCCCACATGGACCTACAAAGATGATTGCTGATTTGTGTTGGATTTCTCGCTATGATCACAGCTTAGAGTCAGGTATGTAACTCCACATGTGGGAAATGAAGGAGACGAGGGATTTTTCTTCATGGAAGGTACATAAGTGGTTGTCGAGAAAATATAACTATGCTGCAGAAGACATAAGCTAAGCCTTTCAAAAAGGTGTGACTGAGATGACAGTGAAGCTCAATAAGCTTATTCATCTAGATTGCGAGCCTGAACGTATCACGCACACCAAGTCAAAGTACTTTGGGTGTCAAATGTTTCTCATCATATTTGGAGCGATTACTTTTATCAAAAATTTCCATTACCCACAATTAAATTAGTCTTAAATCTGATGAAAGAAATGATATAACCCTTGTTGACTTCTCCCTGAAAAAGAATATACATTTTCTTTTTGAAAGTAGGTAAGCAGGATCCTTCCCACCAGTCATACGAAATAATTGACTAAAAAACACAAGTTTGAGAAACCCAAAACTTTGAAACATATCTTCAATTTCATCTGACTCAGGCTCATAACCTATTATAACAATCATATACTGGTGTCCAAAAGAAAGGTAAGAAGTTTTGTTTCTGAGTCGTGAAGTTTTTTGATTTCGATAATTTAGTCAACGATAGAATTAAATGAATGGAAACCATTTTGAACAATATAGGATTATGATGAAAGAAGTTCGAAATCGATGTCCACTTTTTCCTCTACTTTATCATACATCTTGAAATTGGTCTCGGTTTGGTCTTGTTACTAGGTACCGATCACATGAAAGATTTAGTTTCAAGAGGTTCTTCAAGTTATGTCGAAGTGGTATATGTATTAAGATGTTGGTATTACAATTCGAGTTAATCGATTATCAAGGATGAAAGTATATTTTCTTACCTATATATTGTAATAGTGCCGAAGATAAGTTAGACTTGTACATCTGTCTTGAAGATAAAATCACTGTCGAACGATACGTACGAGGTATATATCGATCCCTCGAGCTGTTCACTGATCCTCCGGCTACGAATTGACCCCAGCTGCCTCTCCTTCGATCTCCTATGATCCGGTTCCTGAAAACTCATACCTCTCCTTCTTGAAGTAGACTGACTCGATGATCTTAAAGTACGATAATCATGATAATTTTTTGAATTAGATCGATTAGGTTGATCTTGTTGTCTAGAATTCAATTTACGATGTGGAGATCTAGGTCTATTATCAATTTTGCCTTCATCCATAAACACATCAGCTTGTTTGATTCTACTTGCTGGTTTTGATATTTGTCCCATTGCTGTCATTTTTGATAAAGAAATGCTTCTTCTTGATGTTCCATTCGGACGTCTTTCGAAAAACCAACCAGAGACTTTTGTAACTTGTGGAAAGATTAGAGTAAAGATGAAGAAAATGACTTTGAATATTTCTGTGAACGGAAGGAGCTTCATTCAATCGGAAGACCTTGATGATATAAGTAAGAGTCTGATCAAAGTTGCACCATAAGTAAACCCCGGAAGATGTATGTGGGCGTATTTAAAGCATAGAAGTGCGTAATATCGTAATAAACGCGAAAAACACAACTGACATGAGTATATACTACTCTAGGATATATTCACATTGTTCGGTGAACCGGAATTATGATCCAACTAGGAAGAGCGGAGCGTGAAACTTGTGTGAGCTGCAAGGAGGTATAGTGAGTCGTTTTTCAACACATCACAAGATATGTTCGGGGGTTTTGTTTTGAAGATTTAGAAGATTTCAATACATAAAGTGTATTACAAGAGAAAACCGAAGCGTACATACAATTTGGGCTCTTGAGTCTTAGGTAGATTTTGTCAAATGTGTCACAGGAGGCCGGCTAACAAGGGTCTGATTCTGTGTGAGTTCAGTGGGTACAATCGGATCACCAGATATGCCACAAAAAGTCATAGGCAAAATGTAGTGTCAGTCCCGTTGCTTAACGGGGTTTGAGTTGACGTGCTTGGTTAAAGGCTACGATTCTTCCCTTGAAACATGACCAATATGACGGTTACATGTGCCAAGAACCTCCAAGTCGGTCTCGCAGGTCATGAAGGAGGTGGAGATATAATAGCTACTTGTAAATTTATTCACATCTTGAATGTAGGATAGGGGAAGTTAAACATCGAGCAACTTTCCAAGAGCTATAAAGAATCTCATATGTACCATGAAGTGCATAAAAGCTGCACGCAACCCACAACATTGGTGGGATTATTGTTTCCCAGAAAGGAAATGAATATGTACATGCACAATGTAGCACCATGTAAATTTAGTGATCAAGGTGTTTGGTAGCGTGCCAGATGAACCAAAAAATCAAGCTCGCTTACTTTGAATTTTGAATCAAGTGTATACTCACACGTCTCGGCAATAAACATTTCTTTCGCTCATCAAGTTGGTCACAAAATAACGATCTTTATTCATATCAAAGCGGGCTACAAACATGGTTTCAAAAAACGACGCAATAAGTTCAATGGAAACAAAAGAGTGTACAAGGTATTCAAAAGAAAAGAAGGACATTAGAACAAACAAGTTCTTTACAATAAGGTGATAACGAGATTTTAAAACAAAGCGTCATGTACAGAAGACTTGTGAAAAAGACGGTTTTGTTCGGTTGAAAGAAAAACAATCAGGTCATAAGTTCAATACGGTGTTTGTTACAAAATTCACCTAAGCCGTTGGTAGTAAAAAACTTGATCATATGTTCAGAAGAGTTTTGTAAGACTAATGTATTTAATTTAGGCCAAGCGTTTGCACAAACCAAAATCGGAATCACTTCCCAGTTTGAATGACGTTGTAAATTCATAACTGTATGAAGTTTTTCCAACTTTTCGCAATATTGAAATCTTGGTGTTAAATCTTCACACCAAGCTTTTATTTCCAATGAAACTAATTGTGGTAACTTGTAAACGTGTTGAGCTGGCTGGTCTTCTTCCCAATCATCTATAGGTTCAGCAGGTGAAAGAACTAGTTTAACTACGTTAGGTGCCATATGATCAAGGACTTTATAATCCCTTTCTCCTTTAAAGTTGAAACCCTCTAATCTCAAATCAACAATTGAACCTGACCATTTGAATCTACGCCAAGCCGCATCAACACAATCAGTCGAAGTGATCGAAAGGGTTTTCAAGTTGGTGATTTTGGAAATCGATAAACCGAGTCTTTCAGTACTACGACTTTCAGGTACGAATTCTATGGCGTCGAGTGACAAGGATTCAAGGTTAGTCAATCGTTCTAATAAGCGTTGGATGAAATTCTTGTGGATTGAAGTACAGTCCATTTGGCTTAATTCGAGATGTTTAAGGGAGACTGAAGATACGATGGCCGGAATGGTTTGAAGTAACGCAAAGTTCAAGACTTTGTGAGTTTCATCTGGGTCATCGTGTTGATCAAGATCAGTCGGTTCAGATAAGGTAAGGGACTGTAAGTTGGGTAAGTCCTTGATCATATGACTAACGAGAGCAGGAAAAAGGTATTCTTTAGATTCGAGGGCTTCAGGCTCTAAATAGGAAATATCTTGATCTTTAGGGTAGTAAACTTTGAGCTCGCTGTTTAATAAGTAGTCGCTTGGTAAAGTGAAGTAAACCTTTTCAACAAGTGAACCGTGTTTAGGACCAATGTCTTGATTTAAGATGTAAGTTCTGTCGGGTGAACGGTTATCGATCATAACAAGAGCCTTAAGAAAATGAAGAGGAGCATGATCAGATTATGTCAAGACGTTGAGATGGTTAAAAAATGATTAATAAGCTTACCTTCCACATAGTCTTTTCACAAATTTCATTTAATCTTTGATTCACACCAGATAAACCATCAAGGTTTCTTCTTTTGTCGATGATGGCTTCTTTCTCGTTGGTTGGTTTTGAAGATTCTTCCCAACTTTGACGTCCCGGTTTTCCATCTTTCCACTTAGTATATAATTCTAGTTTTTGCCATTCTTCTACTTTTCTAACTTCATCAACGATGTCTAAAACTAACTCGATGGGTAGATCAGAAAACCCGGTGGGCTTTTTGCGGTTGGTTGCAGTAGCAGGTTCTTGGATTGTTTCGATGGCTTGTTTTTCTACGATGGTAGTTGGGGCTGGTGTGAAGGTGATTGTTGGTTTATGACGTATGGTTTTAACTCGGGTAGATTGGGTAAGTTCAGAGTTGTTACACATTTCGGATGAGACCGATGACGCTTGGATTGAGTTGGACATGATTAATTAATAACCAAAAGGGATATATCGATGAAAAGGGGTATCGATGAGATGGGAATAAAATCTAATCAAGTGGAGTGAATTAATTAGAAAGTTATAGTATTGTTTATAATTCGATAATGTAGATGGTTATAATTAATCTAAATCAAGGAAGTGGACGATGATAGCGATTGATGGGATGTAAAGTGATTGATTGGTGTTTATTTATAGTCAAAAGTTGTCGAGTGGAGTAAAGAAAAAAGAGTGACCTTTTGTAAGTGATGACGATGGTGTATGATACGATACGATGGTATTTAAACAGTAAAAGACTTTAATAAAGACAGTGGTTTATGAAGAAATGTGCACAATTAAGAAACTATCCTTATAGATGGCTGCCAGATTAGGATCGAATCAGGGTCTTTTTATAAGATACATCAGCAAAGTAGAATTCTCATCGAAGTGGTCTGATCAAATGGCTTTCGTTAGTTGCAAATTATTGATCGCGCCATTTACTTTGCTGACCAGTTTACCTGATTGTATCCAGTATGAGCTCATTATCTTTTCGGATTCAGCCTTTTGCTTTGAGTCTAGTTTGATACTTTAACGGTGCCGGTCCAGGTTTTTTTTTAAAAACCGCACTTGATGTCTTTCAAACTCTATGCATCAAGGTAAACTAGGCCTCTATAGTCACAGTTCGACCAATTCTGGTTCATTTTTGCAATTGAGAAACTTGATCATTTGGTGAAACTAGACTCGCCCACTTTTAGGCAGCACGGGCACTGCAAAAACAAATTTTCTGTGAGTAAGACGTGAAATTGCGAAAGGGCGAGTCAGTCCCATCTCTCGCTGAGGTGGTCTTGACCGTCGAATGTTCCCCAGCAAAATGATTGACAAGTTTCAACCATGCATATACCCCCAACACAAGTTGGTGGGGACGAAAAGTTCAATTACCCGACCGCAATGATCTGCACACTTACACAGAAACTGCCTTAGAATGTATGCGTTTTATTATGACATCCATGACGTCAGGCCATAAAACCAGAAGGGACCCCACAGGATTTTTTTTCGCAAAAAAAGCGCAAGAAAAGATTCCAAACCGATACGGAATGTGGTTTTAATGATCCACCAAACTTGCCGTTAATCTTCTTGGTTTATATAGAAGTCACGGTGAATTGGAATGGCGGTGAATGGATGATGAGTTGAGGTGGAGAAGAAGATGATTAGAGTTGAACTCAGAATGAAGTTGACGCAATTAGGTTTTTTTTTGACGCGCAGGACGAGCTTCCGTGAAGCAGTATCATGAGAGTTGACGATGACCTTCTCGCTGCAGTGCAGCTTCAATCTGTTTCAATACTCCCTCATTTGTCTTGCCCTGCTATCTTGAGTTTTTACATTTTCATTGTTTTAAATGATCTGTTCTTGATTAAAGACCAGAGAATCAAGGTTGTGCGGTTTTCAATTGCAATAGGTCAATAATCACTTCATCCACGTCACGGTCTATCGATATCATCTTGCCATTAATTAATCATCAAACAAAAAGTCACAATGTTGGGTCAGTTTTGATCAATCGAAAAAGACGTGCAAAACTGATATCTCTGACATCGTTGGACTGCAAACCTCGGGCTGAAAACCTTCTTAGTTTCAGCGATGATGATCTCTTACAGTCTCTTACTCAAACTTTGCCAAATGATGGAAACGAGTTATCATTTTCGATTCCGCAACTAGTCTTTCAACTATTTCAAACGAGCGTGATGAATTGTATTTCGCGTGGTCAACAAGCCCTAGCAAACGGAAGCTCAGCAACATATTTTTAGAATTCTACTTTTCAACTACGATACTTGATTATCTCGCTCAATCTATTCAAACATAATCATATGTGAGTTGAAAGAAATTGATCCTTTATATCTTGAAATGTATTTTTAAACAAACCATCAATCTGATTAGACTTCATCAAAAAATGGTTTACAGCTTGCGGTAGATCGGCAACTGAACACTACGAAGAGTCAAACTGATCAAGGGTACTCACAAGCTGTTGCTATTATAAGATCATCGCCTAATCCTTCTCGCATACAACCTATCATGACCACGTAAGGAGGTAGGGTTGCTAGCCATGCAAAAGCTCTGCTCGAGGTGACTTGACTCGGATCGGCTGACCTGTTTCATTGCAATCTCTGCAATTTGCTCCTTTACTCGAAGTTGTTGCTCGATGCTCTGAGCTTTCGAATTCTAAACCCAAGGAGCTTCACAAATATTAGTCCAATGATTTAGGAATTTGCCGTCAAAGACTGGTCATTTCCATAAAGTTTGCTTTGAATGAGTGTTTTGCTTGATCGACTTCCTTCGGCATCCAGCTCAATAAGCGGGCTAATGGAAAGCTTCATCTTTTCACCACCTGCGTCATTGTTCTTCCTCTTGATTTTTGCATCAGCATGTTCCACCAACCTGCAACCCTCGCGGTCGCTGTGCTAGTCTCTACCTTGTGTCTCAACGCGCTTATAGTATCTTACACCGAAACCTTTGGATATAGATACAAATGTACTCATGGATCAACAGGAGTCTTTTCACCTGCTCCTGTGGTTGACGTTGGTACGTTGGAATTTTGTCCTTCTGTTCGATTTTGAATGTAATTCATTGCACAGTTCAACTGAACCTGTTTCTTCTCAATTTTGAAGTTTGCATCGTGGATCAGAAGCGAAAGCCAGCCCATTAACACACGTGCAGGTACAAAATATCCTTGCTTGGCCTTGCGTCTTCTTCGATATACAAACTGATTATCTCATGATCAATTCTCACAAGGAAGCCGACTATCACATATTCATTCATTGAATGTAAATCTAGGTTATCAAGTGGTCTCAATGAAAAACTGTCGAGAGCTTGAGGCAGACCCGACCGACCCTAAATCAAGCGATCAAATATGTTTGGACTATATGCGATTGGACGACACGAAATTGTGTGCGTAGCGATTTTCTTCAGAGTCATAATCCAGTTCTCTGTTGCTTACTGTAATCTTGTGTTTACCGTGGCATTGGGATCCAGCTCTTCAGCTTGTACTCAAAAAGTTACACTACCACCTGCTTCGGGAACTGGAAAATCTTGCATACGTGAGTGATTCGAATCCGAAACTGTCTAGGAAACCTCCACCCAATTAGTGACGAGAGGATCTTATCATTTTTAGCATTCACCGATTGTTCAAAAGAGTTTACGGAGGTGAGCGAGTAGGGTTACACATTATGGGTATGTATCATCAGCACATATCAACGGACTTGGGGGTTAGTGAATTACTGGTATCTTTTGCTCCTCTTCCCGAAAGGTTTTCTTTGTACCTCACTGCTCTCTTGGTTCATTGTTCTATGAAGGCCTTATGAGTTGAATTCAACTGAGCTGGAGGATCCGCACCACAGGACTCCGGAAAACTCCTGTGGACCCGACCGATCTAATATCAATAAAATCGACTCACCTCAACATTGTAGGGTCAAATTTTATCTTCTTTGTTCAAGGTTTGTCTTTTATGTGTTTGATTTCTTTGTTTGAATTTTATTTTTCATTTAGAGACAAGACATGGTCAATTTTTAGGGGTGAGTTATGTCAATCTTTCAAAGTTGGATACAACAAAAATTTTATTCGGGGAAAACATGAGTTGGATTTATGATTTCTTTTTTCTCTTCCAACAGATTATTTTAATGTTCTGGTATATCTCACTTCGTAGTAAGGTTTCTTTAGGGGGGGGAGTGCGAAGAGGAGTTATCTGTGGTCAGGCGGCCTCAGTGGGCCAATAAAAGTCAGTCATTTTTCTCCGCATACAAAGCCGGTCTTTTGGCAGGTCCCAGCACTCGAGAGTCGACCGTCTTTGGGCCTGCCATTGGGCAGGCCTCAGCCTAGCTGCAACCTTGGAACGCGACACGAGCGACGCGCCACACCAGCCCACTAATTGGTTGCGTGGCTCCGCGACACGCAGCGGGATCTGCGAGTGTTGGGCAGATTACAGCAACATCAAATATACAGGCGGGGTAGCGCCGCGCCTTTGTCCGCAGCGCAACACAATGCAGCGGGCGCAACAGCAACGAAAAAAGACAACATTGTTTTCTTATTTATCTCGCATTCTAATCGAGAATAAAATCAAAACACTTCAAAACCATCTCTTTTCTTATTTCTTTCACATAAAAGTTGTATCATAATCCAGTAGGAGTTGGTAACTCGTTATTATCCCATTGGAATGTGTATTAAACTCGGGCTGAACGTTACATGTATCAAATGCTGATCGTTCGGATATGGGTTTATCTATTGCAACTACAGCTATGATGTCATCAAGCAGTTTTACCACTTCACCAAATAAATCCCATTGAAGTTCACAATCATCTTTCCATTTTTCTAGTCTTATTGATATTTTCTGCAACCAATAAATCTTTGCTTACCATATCTATCAAACACTGTGCAGATGTAGTATTTTTCCACCATGCAAAATGATTAAAATTAATGTCAAAATGATTAAAAATGCTGTGTTAATGCATAAAAATGCACCATTAATGCGGAAAAATGCAGCATCAATGCAGTAAAATGCAGTGTTAATGCACACACAAAATGAATTCAGAATTCCACCTTTTTCAATTTTGTTTGTCCTTCAGGTCAATCATTTTTCACTTGGGAAAAATACTACATCTGCCCAGTGAAAGTTTTCTCAAAAAATATTTTTAGTCAAAGTGTTTTACAAAAGTTCTCTTAAATGAAAACTGTTCAAATGAGTGATACCGGTAGTTTTGATTTTGAAGCTTTTAGATTGGTTTCTGACAAGCTGGAATAAAACCAAGTATGAATCGGATGACAGTTCCAACCATTAAACCATGCAAATGCAATGGGATCAATCAAAATATGCAGAGATTGTCCCATTTGCAACCAAGAATTGTTATAAACCCCGGTCCAAGTTTTCTGGGGACCTTATTGAGTTGGATAAGGCTAAACACTGCCCAATCCTCAAGAACAATGGTCCAATTCCTACCAGACCTATTAGATCAGAAAATGACCAGGTCTATGTCTTAAATCTTAACAATCCGGTTTTCTTCAATGTTGTTCCTAGAAGTCAATGTTCTAAGACTTCCCCTCTTAGGAATAACAAAGTCTGTATCCTTACTCAAGAGGAAATTAATAATGCTCAGAAAGCCAGAGACCTTCTGGATATTCAGAGCAGCCTTTTTCAATGGTCAAGGTCAAAAGTCAATCTCACTGTTTTTACTAGGACTTGTTATGAAACAGAAAAAGGCCATAAAAGTGTCTGTGACCTCAATGATGAAGACAAAGAGTCTGACTCCAAGAAGAAGAAGATGGATAAATCTTGGGAATGGATTGAACAGGTGGATGAAGATCCTTCATCCTTTAAAAACTATTCTGAAAGTGCTATCCCCTTGTCAAAAGCAGTCAGAAGTTATGCTCCCAACCTTTCTAAAGAACTCCTGCAGAGACAGTATATTGACCTCTGTAAAGGGAGAAATTATGGCAGAAAAGAAAGTGATGGAAATCAACCTTATGGTCACTGGGAAATACAAGGACATCAAACTGCAACATAAGAAAATTGCTAGCAAGCTCAATGATATTCAAGATTGGTTCTATTATCTCAACATTCTGAAACAATCATACCACCAACACTGTGCCAGAAATGCACTGCGCCGCAGAAAGCGTGTTTTTTGGTGTGTTTCTCCGCAACGCAAGCGCAGCACAGCACGCAACACCTGCATTGCTGGCCCAGGGTTAATACCACAAAGTGTTTCCTCTCAGCTTCAAATATTTTGAAAAATATTTGAATTTGATCAAGGAAAAGTTTATGTCTAATGATCTCAAAGCTGATTGGACAAGTGTGGAAATGACAAGTGTGGAAAGTTTTGATGCAGCTTTCAGAGGTCAATTTGCCATTTGTTGCAACATTTCTTTTGCCAACTGGAATCATCAAAACCTTGGAACAATCAGGACTTGATATATGCAAAAAGATTGTGAGGAAAAACCTCCAGTGGTTTCAACAAGCTTCCAAAAGAATTATCAACCCTCTTGCCCATAGCAAAATTGACACCAAAACCAACCATATCCATTTACTTCAAATAATCAGGATTCTCCTTCACGCTCTAAATCAATGTAATAAGGGGATTCATGCAGAGGCGGATGGAGATCTTTTCTTGGAAAAAGAGCATTTTTTTCCGGCAAGCTTGGATATTCCAAGCTGGGAGATAAGTGCCCTCACATGCACTATTGTGTTGTGTTGTGTTGGTTTTGTTTTTTCTTTTCAAAACGTTTGTTTTCAAGAAATTTTTATTGTTATATTGGTCAGCCCTGAGCCCTGATTACACAACCACGGGCTAACAGTAACACATGTAATATTATATTATTGTATAAATCCATAAGTACATCTCAAGGCTCAGTGTCAAGAGCCACGTAAACACATGTACATAATGTATTAAATACGTAACAAACCTAACCCAAGCGCCAACCACAAGTGAGACAAGGATCACACACCAACCACAAGTTGACGCTTGACCTGTGAATATATAAACCCCCCTTCTTCCCTTGATTCATCCCCCATCTTTTTAACACATCACAACATCAGAATCAAATTATACTTGAAATCCTATAGAGAGGATCCTCAAGTACGTGATTAGTTGTGTAGTCTAAAGACCAAACTTGAGCATCATGGGTTCTATTGCTGAGCACCCCGGTATTGATTTCTATGAGCCTTGGGCCATCACATCCTCTAGAAATAAACCGTAAAGCAGCAAAGCTTCCTCCCTTATACGGAGTAAAGTAGCCTTCAGGATCTTTGGTTCACCAAAGTGTAAAACCTGCCCCTCACAGTCTCACAAGGTTAGAGTGTACTAGCTCTTTACTGCCCTTGATCCCTTTATCTCTTCTTCAAATCCCCTTCTTAGAGGTCAAATAGCTGTAGTCTTCACTTGGGCGTACCACGTGAAGACCACGCTTTACCCTTCTCATCACATTCTTAGTGAAGAGTACACCTAACAGACACGCACTCCTCACAATATTTATGAGTCATTCATAGTAGAGCAACTATGTTGTAAGTCAGATTATTGCTTGTGATTGATGAATTAAGAAGGATTTGAAAGCATGAGGCTCACATCCTTGTGGATATTCATAGGTGCTTATAGAAGAAGCAAAACATGCTAGGAGTTAATATAAAAAGACACACACAAGAATAGAGACCTAGCCATAAAAAATTGAATAAGTGACCAGACAATCATGACAAAGAAGATAACACATTGCAACACTGAGATAAAAAACTGATACATAATCCAATTCTATTTGCCAAAATTGAATAAGTGACCAGACAATCATGACAAAGAAGATAACAAATTGCAACACTGAGATAAAAAACTGATACATAATCCAATTCTATTTGCCACAAGCAACACTATTTTGCTTGATTCAGCCCTTTTTTGTTTTTAAACTGACATTTCAGTTCTTTTTGAGAGCGTCAGATGCTACACAAATGACCACAAGGGATGTGATCACGTCTGAAGAACCTGATCTTCAAGAACCGTGTGGTCAAAATTTGTCCGTGGGGTTGGTATTTTCTGGCTCTCCTGAGGTGCTAAGAAGTACATGTATTTACTTTACTGACATCTGAGTTTTCTATAAGACCTTCAATGGAAACTGAATTGAATACCGATGATGACAATGATCAAAAAAACCCTTTGCGGTTATATCTGGGATAGTGTGAATTCCCTTGGATCATCTCCAGCCATCAAATCCAGCCTTTACGCACACCTTTGCCAGATTCACCCCCTCTTTCTATTGATGTTGATGCAGCTTTTGTTTTGAAACAATATCCTCAGATATTCCCTAGACCAAGAGAATATAACAACGACCAAATTGTTGACCACACCTAGCCAGGCAATTGTTAAGACCGCTAACACTGAGAAGCCGAAGGAACTGCCCGTAACCATTCACCTGAGGAACGTAGATGAAACAGACAATGAAGACACACAAGCAAAGACCACTCAGCCCAAGAAGGTAAAAGAACCACCCTTACCACTGAGCAAATGGAAAATGTACACCGTCCCGGTCAAGGACACATGGCCAGCCCCAGTAGAGAGTGACATGAACGTCGAGGCATGGAAGCTCCCGATGAAGGATGTAGGCCTGAGTGACAACATCCCGTACATAGTCAAAGGCTTCAAAAACGGTTTCTGCGTAGGGATACCTCAGCACGAGATCCCGAACATGCCCTGGTACATGCCTGAAAATCATGGATCAGCCAGGATGGCCAAAGATCAGATTGAGAAAACATTGGCAAAGGAAGCAGTGGCAGGAAGGATAAAAGGACCATTCACCCATAAAGAACTGTGAGCTAGATACGGATTCTTCAGATCTAACCCAATGGGAAGCTCAGTAAATGGGGACAGTTCCATAAGAATGATAAGTGACCTGTCTCACCCAGTAAACAATACGGACATCCCATTGGTCAACTCTTTTGTGGATAAACATAACTACACGACGAACTGGGATGGTTTTGCAGTAGTCGCCCGATTCTTCAAGGAAAATTTGGGCAGTGGTCCATCTGTATCGTTGACTGGGAGAAGGCCTGCCGGAAACTTCTAGCACACCCTAGCCAACGACGCTTCCTATGCATAAAAGACTTTGAAGGAAGAATTTGGGTTGATCTAGCAGTCGGCTTTGGAGGGGTGGCAAGCTGTGGGGTATTTGGAGTGCCAGTGGACGTTTGAAAAGAGATCATGAAAAGGCAACTTTGACTACACAAGATCTGCCTCTGGGTTGACAATGACCTCATTTTCAAGAGGCCATGGGAAACCACAACATTAAAAGATATCATAGACATCAGTACCATGCTTGGGGTAAAAACAAACCTGGAGAAGAATAAAGAATTTGGACCTGAGCAACGGTATTTAGGCTTTGTGTGGAATGGAGTCAACCACACTGTACGACTACCCAAGGGGAAGCTCAAACAACGCCACAGCCAAATCAATGCCATACTGGTACCGGGTTCGGAGTGGAGCTACTCACACATTAATAGCTTTGTGGGTAGGCTAGTACACACTGTCAACATAGTACCACACATGACTCCTTACCTAAACTCCATTTATAGGTGGTTACATCCGTGGGTCAACCTGAGAGAACTAAGGAAGGCGCCTGAGGATGTTATAGAGGATCTGACTGGGTGGCAGATATGCCTCCAAGAATTCAACGTTTGCCCCATCATACCTGACCAGGAGGCGATCGAGGTAGGTTGGGTGGGTGACGCGCTGTCGACAGCTGGTATAGGGGTCCTGGTAAAAACAAGCTGGGAAATGTTTAAGTTAGCAGAAGGATGGGAGGAAAAGAGTTTGGATCGCGTGGGCGGAGATGGTTGCAATCCAACTAGGACTGCTGGTTCTGAATAGGATTTACCCGCTATTGGGGAAAAGGTTCAAAGTGTACACAGATAACACAACCACTGAGATGTGCATCAAAAATATGAAACCAAAAGATAAGCACGTGAACAGTGAGTGGAAAATGATCCATAGACTACTTACAAATTACAACTGCAACCTGCAAGAAGTTAGAGTGGAGTCAAAAAAGAACGACACCAACAGGCTATCAAGAGGTATAGTCCCGGATTCACTGAACTGGTACAAAGAGGTTATAGTAGAAGTACCGGCAGACTTGACAGAATTGGTGATGCAGATAAGATGCCTGATGGCGGAGCCGGGCAAGAAAAACATGTTTCAGTAGTAACATACATAAAAGGAGAACAACACAATGCAATGTCAACAACTGAGCGTAACCAGATAGAAATGAGTGAGATGAACCGCAAGCACCAACCATATGTCATGAATCTGACAGAGAGAAGTGAGCAAGTTAAAGACAAGCATGTCCAAACACCAGGAGCAAACCCAAGACATGTTTGAAGTCCATCCCCCTACGCGAAGTGAGCATAAGAGCAGAGACTGAGTAAAGACCCCGAGCGGAGTAAGCTTGGAAAAGACAGCTTGAATAAGCTTACGAGCTGTAAACCACCAAATGTCAAAGAAAACAAATAAGACCCAGTTGAAGCACTTTGGGAAATTCAAGAAAAACACACAAGAAATAGACTGCTCCGACAAGGACAAGGTGCAAACACAATTTCTAAGTGGATCCTGGGCGGACAGAAATTTAAGACATTACAATGCGGCCGTGGTGAAATTCTTCCGGTTCGCAAAACTGAAAGGCATCAAAGACGAGGAACTCCTCCCGGCAAGCAGCTTGACCATAGCAAAGTTTGTTGTGTGGGGATCAAAGAAGAATGCACCAACAGCGTCACATGACAAGTTGATCAAATCCTCGACGATGAAATTGTATATTGCAGGGATAAAGGTGTGGCATATGTTCCACGGCAAACAATACCCCTTCCAGGTTGACAGCATGGTAAATACACTAATCAAGGCCGCCATGAAGATAGAAGCCAAAATCCACAAGAGGAATACGATCAGACCACTGGTGCTAATGTCAGACCTTCTCGTCCTACAAAACAGCCTATTGATGAGAAATGAAGAAGAGCTAATGCTTCTAACAATAGCCACAATAGCGTTCTGGGGAACCTCAAGACTGGGAGAATTGGTCACAGACGAGGAAGGGAAACACATGCCAAAATGGAGTGAAATCACCTGGGCGAAGAACAGAAGCTTTGTGAGGATAGCAATCAGGAATGCCAAGACAGCCATGCCTGGGGAGATCCAACACCTACACCTAGAAAAACAGAATTTGACACTCAATCCGGTAAAAGTGCTGGAAAAGTTGTACCTTTTCAGACCACGGAAGGAGACCAAGGACCTTTTTGTGATAACACATGGATCTATGAGACGGCAAATGACAAAAGCGGAAGTCATTACCAAGCTGAGAACAGTTTGGAACAAACACAGACCTACCAACAAACAACTGCTTTATGGACACTCCTTCTGCATTGGAGGAGCTTCCCTGAGGTGGAACCTAGGGGAGACAAAGGAAGAGATACAAAGAGCAGGCAGGAAGTCAGACGCTTACCAAGTATATCTACAGAAGTTTGACCCAAAGGAACTAAGGAAGACGGTCAAGCTATTGAAGGAACAGAGGGTGAAATGATGGAGAAACGGAAGGAAGGATTGACCAATGCAATTCAAACTTCCTGTACAGCCCTGGCGATCACATGCGCAAAATGAGGAGCCTGGTAAAGCATAACCAAATTAAGGTTTGGGGGACACAGAGATAGGTGGCTCACTCACACAAGTAGAGTAAGAGGGGTTTCCTGGGGCTCACGGCTGTACCCCCGTGAGTAGAAGGGGTTGAGATACCCCCCTTTTTACTTTCACAGCCTATTCTTGCCTCAGTAGGGGGTAACAGGGTAAGGACCTGATAGGATATCTAACCCTTACCCCCCCTCAGAGCCCCCCCCCACACCACGCTCAAATGCTATAAGATTATATGTACTTAGATCTATTAGTTTTTAAGTAATGGTAGAATAGGAGGTAAAGGGAAAATACAATGTCACAAGACATACTTGTGACATTGATACTCATGTCCCAACTACCTCGCACACTTGAACACACACACACTGAACCAATGGATATAAGATATTTTGAAACAGGATTAATCAGTTTGAATTCAACTGCAACTTGTCCATTTGAAGCTTCTGCAGTATATGCTACTTACATTTGTTGGACAAGTTGAAAGTCTCAGCACCTTCAAGGTACATCAGACGAGTGTGTTGACCTCAAGACTCCAATACTTCTGCCACCTGCAGAATAACTATACTGGCGCGCCCTCACCAGTTTTGAACTTTTGGGGCGCGCCTGCGACAAGGCGCGACTTTTTCGCGCTTTTTGCGCTGCGCCCACAATGTCAACAGGACGAGTCATGAGGTCCTCTCACAGAAGGGGCGATCCGGCTTCCTACCCATAGTTTGCATCGATAACGCTTGCATTCATTGAGGCTGATGTGGTGATGTAGAGATCTTGTCGATATGGATCCTCAATGGATGATCACGCCTGTATAAAAAATCCGGTTCTCCTGGAAGAGGTTGCACAATACATCTTCTATGACTCTGAGGTTCCTTTACAATTTTATTATTCTTTCAAATACAAAAGTTTCCATAAATTTGATTGATTGTTGACCGGTATCATTAAAATGATGTAGTCAATCAGCAAGCTTGATATTGAAGATTTTGGTGCCCAATTGAGTCCTGTTGGATATAAAAGCTTACCTTCAATCTTTAGACAATGTCCACTCATAGGATGTCCATATTCCTGAAGACACATTAATTTAAATTTCTGCAGGTCCCTGCGGGGACCATAATTCAAGAAGGAAAGTGTGAGAGATAAAAGGAAGACAAAAAATGTTACACATAAGCAACACAATGCCTGCCAGGGGTCATATAATCGTAAAAAGAAACATTTCTACACAGCTATACACACGCGCATACATACATGAGCGAGAGAGACAGGCATAATATGAGAAGTTAGCATCGACTTTGGAAAGCAAGGATGCCTAAGATAGAAAAAATTTAAACTAAAATATAACAAGAAATCGAAGTGAAAAAGACTGTAGGAGGTCAAAATGTTCATCAAACCAGAAATTCCCTTCACCATTCATCCTCGCTGTCAGTCTCTCCATAGCCGTTCATGATTGCCAAGACGCCATCTTGATTGAGAGAGGGCGGTAAAACTATATGCGCGCCCTGTGCACGAAGATGGTCACTGAGTTCGGTTTTTACTGAGGTCAAGAATGTAGTCATGAGCCTTTCTATCTTTGACTTTCGAACTGGATACTTAAAATCGCATAGCATGGAAGACTTACACTCTACCCCTGGAACCGGGAATTCCGAGTTTTGTACCACCGGAAAGGAATTGGTCACCACGGTTGCCAATAGCTCGGGCTCTCGTGAATCCGGCCTGAATTGAGGGAAGAGGAAGCCACATCGACCGGCACAGAGTTTCAATTTGCGTCAGGTGTTTGTTGAGCAAAAATTAGTAAAAATGAAGGGCAAATACGCTTACCATACACGTTGTAGATCGACCCTTAGCCGAAAGACGCCGAATTCCCTTACTGCCGTATCGCCGAAGATGAAGAAGCATTTCCATTGCCCATGCAAATCTCTCCCGTTGAAGTGATTTGCAACCGTATGTCCAATAAGCATGCCAGGTAGCTCTTGCTGCCCTGTTGAATCAAGTAAATTCAAGGTACATCGAAGCCGGTACCCATCTAGGATGATATCCAGGTCAGCCCAAGATGTGAAACTCTTTTCTTGTAACATTCAGCCTTTGCGCTCACCAAATGGGGCAATTTCATCACCTATCAAGCGCAAGATGATTGCTGGTCCAATCGGGATCCGTCCGTGGTAATTTGGTGGAGGATATAGTTCATTTGAAGCGATGCATCCGCAACCAGGTTGTTGCAGTACTACCAAATCATGATCCCTGCGAGTAGAAATTTTGCAGTCACATCAGACAAAGTTTTGACCCAGTTGAAGGTACAAGTTGAGTTACGGATGATAGAAGAGCGGTATGAAAGATGTAAAGTTTGATGATCAGATGGGGTTCAATTCATGACTGCCTCTCGAGTTAGAGTCCCTCAAAGCCAGGCCGGTGAAGCCCTGGGATACTTCCTACTTCAGATGCCCAGTTGAATGAGTAGTGAGCATGCGTGCTTCCTCAAGGATATTTCGGTGATCCGAGTTGGGAGAGCGCAGATCCTTGTAGCTATCCTCTGATGCATGTTATTTTCGTCGCGATATGGCACAGAGCAAGGTAGAGTAAAGTGGACCGCACAACAGCCGCAGGCCAATTGAGAAAACATGGGAGTAGATTATCAGCGTTTGAAATGTACTCACATTTATTGAAGCCGATGAGATCTTGGTGCGATGCGGTATATCAAGAGAGATGGTCGTGGTTTAAAGATTACAGCCCTTGAGTACTTCCCCTAGATGCGCGATGCTTTAACGTCTGCCCTTCACTAGAGTTGAAATGAGTGGTTATGTTATGAAATCAAAGATGCGACAAGTGAAGGATATATCTCCGACGAGATAAACAATTGCAACAGAGAAGGAATGAATTTTAGCAACATCTGATAAAGGTCCGGTGTTTTATTATTTCAATACGTATGGAGCTCAACTAAAAAAAACTTTATATCCTGCGATAGTGTAGATACTACAATAGATTGTTTACGGAGAAAGGCGCAAGATGAAATCACAAGCCTAGATGTCAGATTGGCTTGCTGAGTAATCTTTTTTGTCGTTAATGATCATTCACCAATAGTCACCAATCCGATGGTACATATTTTTGTTCCCATCTGGTTCGAACCAATGGTGGGAGTAGCCGTCCACGTACGGTGCATTCTACATGGTGGTGGACATACTTACATGCAGTGACACAAAGTAGGTTCGCACCTTGGTCCGATCCGCACACTTTTAACAATGGACCACCAATTTGTTGTCTATATCCTCACGTGCCGACTCGTGTGGACGGATGTTCTTAAGTAATACATAGGACGTATGTCAGTTTTGGAAAACACACCGAGACTTGGGAATTGACTCCCGCCCACGATCACGCCGGATTTGCACGACGCATTTAGTTATCATCTCGGATGTACTCAGCTCTTCATTGACCAAAGTCCCAGTTCGGTATACTTTATTCTGCCGAAGTTTTTCTTGCCGTTGAAAGAGGAAGCAGAGCATGAAGAAAGTCTGAGTCACAGGGCCTTTTCAAAGCCATATGTCAAACGTGCCCTGGGAGTACGGGCACGTATTGAGCGTTCGGCATCTCGGCATCATTGCACTGCTTTGATGGCTTGATGTTGAATGTCAGTGAGGTCAAAGAATCCAAGTGAAACGCATCCTGCATTTGCTTGTGAAGGACTAGTCTGCGAAGAGTTTCATGGGGTAGGCGCCGGGTATACAACCCGGCAGAATTTGAAGTCACTGATATTCCGTTCCTTCATGTGGGAATCAGTTCGTCCAGAATAATGTTCCTGTCAAGAAGCAAACTCTTCACTTACATTGAATTTGAGATTTGATCCGGTTTAACAAGAACCAAAAGCCGCAGTGCACTGCTGAGTGCAATGAACCAAGTACCGAGCTTAGAAGAGTGTCACTGTGTGTACCAGGACCGCCTGAAAAGTTAACTCAAGATAAACCACTGGCCAGCAGTGCGAGTGTCTTTTGATTTGACTACCGGACATATGCACTGAGATCAGTTTAGGACAAGCTCACTGTAACTTGATGTTAATAAAGCTTTTGATAGTTATTGCCTGTTGTATATTGCGAGTAGAATTAGTGGATGAGACATTTCCAGGCGATGAGCACCCAATCTCATATTGCAAGATCTTCCGCGCTTAAAATTTAGTCCGTACCGCTTCATGAGCCGCATGGATAACGATCTATAACGATCATCTCTGTTTGTATAGCATCCACACCCGGGGTTATTCCTCACAAACCACGCGTGCCAAATGATAAAGGCTGAGCAACCGAAAGTTTCGGGCTAACTTCGCGATCTAATTCTGTCACAACTCCGCATATCATGAAAGATATCAAAAGCTCGGATTTCATGGAATGTTCTAAAGAAGCTCGCTCATCTCTACAGCACAGGTGCAGCTCCCAGGCGAAAGCTGAGACTTCTCCGACATCTTTTGATCTAAGCTTTCTCTGATAACATTCATATAAATCACATCCTGACGCATTCGTGGTCATTCAGGGACGCAGAGTAGCCCGAAACCCATGGCTCTTTACCACAAGTATCACCTCTTTGAACACTCGTTCATAGATTCCTTTAGTCTTGTGCTATGCATTTCATCAGATACCATCTTTTTTGCTGATTCAAAGTGTCAGGCCAAGTACAACCAACGGGCAGGCATTTATACACCAGCCAGGTGTATGGCGTATTCTTCCTCTCACTTGATGGATCGTAGAGCGATCGGCTAGATCGGCTCTCGAACCCAACTGTGTTTGATGTGTATGAGAAGGTCAAGAAGATGACGCGTTTAACGTCAGAAGCCTAGCAAAAAAGTACGTCATTTTTTTATTTCATCATTCCAAAAGTCACTTTACTTTTCATCGCAGGTCTTCCGGTGCATGTAAGCTATCAATCGGTATGTGCCATCTATGCCTCTGAAAGCAAGAAACAAATTTGTTACCTTGATGAAGCGCATGTAAAAATATATCTATCTAGATATCTACCGATTGCCCAACATGGGACAATAAAAACCACCATTTGATGATGGTGGTCTGGAGGCTTGAAAGCGGTCCAGGTTCTGGCAAAGGCTGTAGCTTGTACAAGGAGCTACTCGTACCGCGCCCTCCCCCCTGCAAATCACCTACATGGAAGAGTCGCGCGCTTGCGCAAACAAGAATGGCTGCTCTCGAGACTGGGCTATAGATGCCCCCTGTAATTGCAGTAGATTTTCCTGGATCCGCGGACTCGCACGCCTACGAAGCAATTGAGGCCCCGAGATTATGATTACACTTGACCATCACCCAAAGGATTTTTCCGGCCTCTTGTTTTGGACGCATCGACAAGAGCAATGATTTGGGAATAAGTCATAGACTTCAAAAGATTGATAAACGCAGGGAAGAGAATTACAAATCTTCAAAGATTGATTCAATTTCCATAGTAAACTCATGACACAATCATTCTGAATTGTCTTCGATTTGCAAGGTTCGCAATTTCTGTTGTTAAAAATAAACCTGGATGATCGAGCGTAAGAAAGCCAAATTTATCAATCAGAAAGTCGTCGTTTTCAACTCAGCTTCACTGGATATTCAGAAGCGAAACAATCACAGAGGATAAAAGTCAATTTGATACGCTCAATGTCGGAAATTGGACACCAGATACATCCATGAACCTCGATCATTAAGACATAGTTTTTCAATCCAACCAAACCCCAGTTAACGGTACACAATTTGCCTTGAATCCTTCCTCACGAGTATGACGGCAGGAATTACCTCTATTAACATCTGGCCCCCAGCCGGAAGTGGGTAGTTGCTTCCAGGCACCTAGAACAACACACGATGAGCTTATTTACGTTTGCGATCACTTGCTTTATTTCATTCAACACAGCCGGGAGTTTGGGGTATCAATGCGTTGTCCGATGGTGTCATCACAGGTTTACCGCGCGTTCCACTGAGAATTCCCCGATCTTCAACTCATGCGCTTTGATCAGAAAGGCTTCCATTGACATGTGAGTTCGGGTTTGCTTGAAGAAACTCAGAAAAGCAATTGTGGGGACAGCCAGGTTTGCATCTGTTTGTATGTCTTCCCCGGTATCCGGATTTTGATTGACTCAGAGTTCGCACTGGAGATCTCTGAGGATTCATTTGAATCCATTCAGGAGGATCTGCTGCAGATTCCCCACGGGTGTGCAATGAATGAGACTTTAAGGAGGATTCCAATGAAAACTCCAATATATAGAGTTAAAGTTTGAGGAGACCCAATCTGCGGAATGCTTCCCGAAATGAGCCTATGAAAATTCTCTAATCTGATCTTGAACTTGAAAATTCCTGAAAAATCTCTGAGAAACAGCGTTAAACCTGCCATATTGGGCTTCTTAGGTTTTCGAAGTTTATTAAACCACCGGATTCCAGAAACTCAGCAGAGAAATAGTAGCTTCCCAAATGCTTTAGCGCTACATGTGGATCAGGACGAAGAACGGATTTCAAGGGTTTAGCTTAGCAAGTCAAGAGTCTTGAGGGTCATCGAGGGGTTCCGACTGTCCTGAAGGGCGCTTGTTGGCCCAACACGTGCATGAATTGAACATGCAATAATCGACTCAGGAATCTGTTGGAGTGACTACCACGCTCTTCCGACGTATGGGCGATCCCTTGAATGTTGAATGCCAAAGGATAGTCTGGCGGGTCACTGACACTTGGATATTTGACGCAGAACGCCAAAGCTAAATCCAATTACCAGGAGAAAAATTGATGAACTCGAAGATGAAAGTAAGTAAATGCGAACTTGGCTAACCAAAATAGAAACGTATCAAGAGGAGCTTGAGGAAGGCCTACAAAAGGATAAATCATGGACTAAAATTTAAATAAATAATGGGTTTCTCGAGACACAACAAGATAAGAATCAAGAAGAATGATGTATGTAGTTGATTATATAAAATACCAAAGTTAAAAAACGCCAAAACAAGCCAAAAAATCATGAACTGAAGCATCAAACCTTGAATAAAAAGGAAAAAATGAAATGTAAGGACATAAAAATGAAGGGATGATAAAAGGATACGAATCTTTACAGCAGGGCGTGGGGGAGATAAGAAAAACCATCCCTAAAAGAATAAGATCTGTAGATAATGAAGTGGTAGAAGATAGGAATGAAGGAACTGCTTTTTAGCATCCATCAGTTCTTATTCTAGATTAAAAGTTCTCAGGGTTTGGTGATTTAGAAAACCCTCAATCAAGAAAAGATAGAAGGTTTCAGGAATATAGACGCGCTGGGGTGCTATCATACTTTGGTCCGATCCCATGTGTACCCCTCCGACTTTCATACTGATCAATCTTCAAAATTATACTACAAGGTACATATTACCTACTTGTCTTTGTGATCAAAGGGGTCGAGAGCTTGTTTGGAAGAATGCTTTAAAATTGTCAATCACATCACACAAAGAAAAGAAGTCCAATTTACATGCTTTTGTTGACTCTCAATAATCGATAAATTTCAATTCACAAATGCTTGCCAAATCAACGAAATTGCATAAAATTTACCATAATCATAGAATAACCTTCTGTCCATTTCTTGGCACTTTTCTCCTTACCCACCTCACTAATCCCAACTCTCCTACGATTTTCCTTTCTTCTTCACATCCATCACATTCACATTCCTTCTGATCTAAATCAATTCCTCCTACTGAATCAAAACTAAGATGTAATCTCGCACATTTATAACAAAGCCTTCTAGGTCCAATGATAAGTGTTGTAGATTCTCTTCTACGACTTCCTACTGCTACCGCTATTCGTTCAGCCAAACTTAAACTATGAGGTGAAACCGCGTCGCCCAATACATTCATAACCTCTGTCTTTCCCCTGCTACTCCCACTTACATCACGACCTCGTCCTTCGTCCGCTGGACTTGGCAGACTAATAGCCGGTGACAATAATACAACACGTTCGTATATTGGTGATAATCTATCTGATGGTCCAACAAATTGTCCACAGGATTCGCAGTCGAACCCGTTTGTGACTGCACGGCGTACATGTGCAGCCAAGCTACTCAAATCCACTGTTTCTCCATGCTTCAGTGAGCATTGGATGCGGCGAATGCAATTGACCACAAGTGATTGTACCTTCTCATCTGATGAAGTCACTTCTGTTTGAGTTTTGTTTCCGATTTCGGTCCAAATTGAGCGAACATTGCTTTTCCGACGTCGAGTACCCTTGTTGCTTAGTCTCTCTAGGTACCTAAACCGAGTCAGGCTCGTGGGTATAGTCAAGAATGGATTATGAGACAAATTGAGGCTTTCAAGACACGGTAGAGCGCATGGCAACGAATTCGGAAGGACTGTTCAAGGGTGCAAAGTACAAGTCAAATTGGCATGAAATTTGTAAAATCTAGTCAAAGGATCAAATCAGGACACAAACCAGTAAGCTGATTACGGGACAAGTCGAGTAACTTGATTGATCCTAGTACTTCTTCAAGACGGCCTGGTGGAGTAGGTGACCCCTCGAAGCTCAAATACCAACTCACCACCTCGTCAAGATTCAAAAGTGCCAGTGGTAAATGATCAAGACCTAATCTAGCCAACGAAAGCTTTCGAGGTGAACCGAGAAGAATGATAGCTTCGAGACACGCCAAGAGTTGTGAAGTAGGTCGATCGACCGTTTGGATTGCGATTGGCTTAGGCACCTATACTACCCTCAAACCCAAAAACTTTAGTCACACTTGGCGTCCTTGCTTCTCTCAAGGTGGATGAACAAGTGTATCGACTGATGGGGAAGATCGTGCATTTTTTTCTGCTCTTTTTTGAGTCCAGCGTGTGACTAACGTTCTCGACGGTTTGACGTACAAAACCCCACCTTGGCTCTGTAACCATCTTCGGCCATTTTTGCAATAGAATCGCCAATGCCTTTGCTTCCGAAGAGCTCAGTCCACGTCGATAATCTTTGTCTTGAACAGCGATATTCTCCAAGAGGATTTCCATATCAGTGGAGATCCGGGCTAAAACACCAAGCGAATAAAGGTAGATGAGTGAACAACTTTCTTGACTTGCGAGTCAAATTTCGTATAAAGAGACTTGGACCAACCGTAGATTGGAAAGAAGACACCAAGATCTGATGAAGGAGTTTGATTGAGAACCACTTCAAGTGTCTGCAAAGCATTCCAAAGATCATTCCAAGCTCGATTGGTGATAGCTCTTCGAGTACTCAAGACCACCAGAGCATTTTTAATCCGCCGTCTTGATCCAGGAAAACTTGGGCCTTGAGCTGATACTGATGCGGATGCGGATGAGGTTGAAGCTGAAGAGCAAGCTGATATTGAAGAATGTAATCGATCTCGAGTGGCGTGATGATGACAAGGACGACCGAATGATAAGGATAAAGCGGAGCTCAAACTGGTGTCTGAGTCGTCATCTTCGTCCCCATCTTCGTCTTCATCCTCTTCGTCATCCTCTTCATCCTCTTCTTCATAGTCATCGTCTTCATCATGTCCAAGCATCCGTTGAGGGTAATGAGAATAAACAGCAGCTGACCTCATGGTCAACTCTTGTCTTTGTTGGATCACATCCAATCTTCCAGGAATTCACCAGACTCCAGAGGTCAGTCATCTATACGGTCTTCGGGTATCATAGGGTGCGGGGCCGGATTTTTGCGCCCAAATGACTAGGCCGCAATGCAATCGTGCACCACACCTCTCAGATTCAGAAAGCCTTTCTAGTACTCATAGCATCCACCATCTTTTACACCAAATGTGAAATCCAAATTTGGATGTGCAATAATCTTATCACCCGCATGTACGTCTTTTGGAAAACTGTAAGGCGGAGTTCATGTGATCAGGGTCTCTTTACCTACCTCAAATCAGAGACCGGTTTGGAGATCAAAAGGCCTAGAAGCTGTATGGTGCTATGTCCGAGTGGTTAAGGAGACGCCCTGCTATGGCTGATTCGTCAGCACAACGTAGGCGTTGGGTTCTGCCCGCGCGAGTTCGAATCTCGTTGGCATCGCGTGATTGGTCTGGCATAGGCCAATATTTTTTTTCAATCTTTTCTTATACTGGGGTCTCATCCAAGACGCAAGTACAGCTGTTCTCAGATATTGGCAGATTTTGAGAGCTTTGTGATGTTGCTAGATTTAATTTAGAGGTCAAAAACTCAAAAAAACCCTTTTGAGATTGATAACTCTGCTGCCCATTGACAACTGTGTTTCAGCAACGCAGTGCGGCACAAAAAGGGCATTTCGGGCTGCGTTGCTCTGCAACACGTAGCATACAGTCCACAAATTGAGTTATGTTGCTCCTAGCATCACAGCATAAAATAGGCAGGATGAGTTGCGTGCCGGATCACCCCATGTGCAACAGCACCAAAAAACCTCAAAAATCAACAGTCTTGTGGACCACAACACAAAAAGTGCTGTTGCAGTCAGAAAAGAACCCTGATTCCAAAGACCTTGTTGTATGTTGGGGTTACCCGCAACATTTATACAGAATTTGTGCAACAGTGCGGCATGTGAATTCTGCAATGTACCAGCAGCTCAGTGCGCAACAGCTGTGTTGCTGGCCCAGGGTCACCATTGGTCCAATTGGCACCAGGAAAATGGAGTTTACTCTGAAAGTGATATAGTTGCGAGTTTTTGATTAAATCTGGCGACAAAAAAATTCTTCAAAAATCTGCCAGTAGATCTTACAATGGCTGCAGTTGAGAAGAATCATAATAAGAAAATCACTCTTTAATTTCACAAAGGAGAATAGTGGTACACAAAGTTCAAAACCACATGAAAACCCTACATGAAACCACATGGATTTTTTGATTTTCCCCACAAAAACCAAAAACTCCATGTGGTTTTCAACTTTATGTACCACTAATAATCCATCTTGTGAATATCAATTATATGATATTCTTTTTAGTGGAATTTACTTTCAACTTTGGATGAAATTTGTAAAAAAAAATCTCCAACCAAAAAAGAAAGTAAAGAGACAAATTGCCTTGTCCCTGAGGGTCTAACCGGGATAATCTTTCTCCCTTATTCTTCTGTACATCAACACTTTCACACAGTTTAACTTTTGTGGCTTGAACTCTCTTTGGTGCGCTCCGTCAAAAACAGACTACAACTGTTAATAAAAAACTTAGGGGTCATTTCTCACATGGCTCTCAGATTCCTTCTTCTAGAATCAAGTGTTGATCAGGATCAAGTTTTTTCTCAAAAAGTCAATAGACATTCCAATCTCCAATTTATTTCTCTAAATTTCTTTTCTGGCCACACCTTATTTTCTATTGCTGCTAGGAATCAGGCTGAGTCCTTGACATTGTGAGGATCAAATGTTTTTAGATACCTGAGGTATGCCATTGACTTACATCTACCTTGTTGTGTGATCTTATAAATTCTTGTTCCTAGGTTGAATCTCAAGGATGCTCCTCCTACTCTAAAAGAGTGGCCTCTCCATTTCTTCATTCCATGCTGACCCCATATTTTTTTCACTCCATTCAGGAACTTTTTTTTCAATAGTGCCTTCAACACATCCTTTTCTTTCAAAGCAGACAGGGGCGTATCAGGGCTTGCTCTTGGGTTCTTTGCTAACCGTCGTGATATTGCTGCTACCGGATCCAATCCATTTAGTTGCTGTTGTAAATGGATACCTTACACCTCTCCTGGGAGTGCAGTCTTTGCCTTCAGCAGGTGTAATCTCACAAAGTTCATTCCCTTCTTCACTCCAAAATCTACATGTCTTCTTAGGATAGCTTTGTCTTCTTACAACAGTTTTCATTGCCTCTCTTCACAGCTCGTAATAATGGCTTTACTACCTTGGGGTCTTCCGCCAGAATCTTTGTGTGTTTGACTATTTGCCAAGCTATAATTCCATGTAAATACTTCTTGATTGTGACTGAGCTCAAAGGTCTATCCAGTCTGTTGGTTGAGGCTCCTTTCTCCTTCCCAGCCCACACAATGAAATCATAGACATCTTTGTTGGTGATCAATCTGGGGTTAAATGCGCCAGCGGTGTGTTTCTTAGTTTCTATGAACTTGGCCATCCATGATGAGTAACCTTACAATGTCAATTTTTCCCAGCTTCCTGAGGCATGGTGTGTTTCCCTGCCCTTGACACGTTCTTGGTTGCTCATTTGAAATGTTTAGGTAAGTTGGTCATGGCTCAAGATGAGAGGAAAGGTTTGATCTGGGCTTAACACAAAGATGCTTTAGGTATTCCAGGATTGGTACCTCCAACATGTCTCTTACGTGTTTTGTTGAGTTGTGAACCCTGGGTAGCCTGTCTGTGGCATTGTCTTCTGATATGACTTGTTTCAGATTGATGCACACTTGGTGTTCTACCCTAAAATATTTGATTTTAGTGTGAACAAAAACACAATGCTGATGTTGCTAGGATATTTGGATGATTATGTATTCAAGGCCATGTCACTTTCCTCTTCCTTGGCAGACCACATCAAGTGTGCATTCAATTCTATGTCACTGCTCCTTTTTGTGGTGCATTCATAATTCCATCTCTGGTCCAATATCTCTATCTTCATCTCTGCAAGCCACTATTCTGTTCAACACTCCCTTGGATCAATATGCAGTTTTTCCACAAAGTGGAGCCCAGGCTTCTGATGGATCACGTTGCCTGTGGACTTTGTTAAAACTTGATGTTGACTTGGCTCACATGTTTTTCACTGTATTTTGGATTTGGAAATGGTTTGATTTGAACACAAAGGGGATCAAAGAAGGCATTTTCTGAAGTTTGAGTCAAGTTTTTTTTATTGTGATGACAAGTGGACTGAATATGCTCATAGATCAATATCAGTGCAACTAAGGTACTGATTGACACCCTGCTGCCTTGATTGAAACTATGTGATCATTCACCCTTCTCAAGCCTAACCTGGCTGCTAAACAACCTGCTACACCCAGTTGCTTTTTTGGCTGTAAAATTGTATATCATGTTGGCATTCATTGACAGCTCACAGCCAAAAATTTAACCAGGTGTACTAAGTTATTTTGGCAACCGAGAAAGGTTGGTTTGAGAATGGCTATTGTACAGAAATATTCAAAGGTGTTGTTATTTTGAGTGTGCTATCTCAAGAAGTTCAACAGACCAGTTCTATATGATTTTTCTCACAATGCCAGTGAAACCTCTCCTTCCCATGCTAATAATCAAACTTAATGGAACCAACACCACCGGCGCTCCGCTATATTCACATAAATCACGAGCGGAGCAATCTGGGGCTATGAAAAAAAGCCAATCGCTACGCTATCTTTTTGGAGGCGCTATGAAAATCTGAGAGCGGTGCGGCTTTTCAGACCGCTCCGCTCCGCTATGATGGAATTTCACAACAAATAGCGCCCAAAAGGGCTACAGCGCATAAGTTTAGTCAGCAGGGCTTTCTTGACCTCCCAAGAGGGCTTGTTCACTAGGTTTATGGCCAAATTGAAGTGTATCGTTTGCAGGGTTGCATCTAGCTTCATGGCTCCTGTTAGTGTGGATTGAGCCTCTAGCGCCATCTAGGGAAGCCATCCGATGTATGGCAGTCTCTTTGACAGTCCGAAGGCGCTCTATGTAGAAAGCTCTACTTCTTTGTTGGGATAGGTCATCAATTAAGTGAACTTAGAACACACGTTGATAAAGCTGAATCAATATATCATCCAGCAAGCGATGCAACTGGCCTGTTCCGATTGGTGTAGTGAGCCACACCATCGATGCTCATCTATTACATTTCACTTATTTTACAAACATTGAAAGTAGATTTAAAAATATGTAGTTCTTCACTTATCTTATATAAATACTGTTCTTGAACAAATAACCATCACTACCTTATCACTTTAAAAAAAGATCCTAGCTGCAGCAATCAGCCATTTAAAACTAGATCAAAAGTGATTGGTCCGAGCAAAAGGGAAGATTCATTAGGAACGATTGACTTAGATTGATAAGAATGGAATGGTACATAATCAACATACATTTTGAGTTCATGGTTCTCTATTTCGCATCTACTGCATTATGGTACCTTATATTAACAATGTCCATAACAATAAATATCAGATGAAGCTAAGTGAAGTTGTCTCATTGTTGAATACACAAGACAAAAACTTACTTTATAATGTATCGGGTAAACACATTAAAAACTTGATTCAAGATTAATCGATCGAATCCAATCATAAGCAAAGATCAAAACTGATAAACCAGCTAATCAGAAATACAAAAACAAGCAATCAAAAACTACAAACAATCAGACAACTACATTAGCCTCGAAAAATCAGAAGATCGAATGAAAAAAGGAAACGTCAATTTACCAGACATGAGTATGATTTTGGAGAGGATTGTTGAGGTGAGGTGTTAAAATCGAGTGGATTGAGGCTGAAATAAGGAGGTGGTTCGCCAGTCAAGAATCGTTGGAGTGATTGAAGCATGACGTCAACTCGTGTGATATCAGTTGGAAGTGAGCTTGGGAAAGGTCAATTATGGAAAAAGAAATGTGATAATGGTTTAGGTCGTTATGGCTTTTCGCTATGCGCTCTGAGGCGCTAGGGCGACACATAGCACAGCGAATTTTTGCTACCTTTTGCAAACCGCTATATGCCTTAGGCTTTCACCATAGCTATAGCAACGGTTGAAGCCCGCTATGTGGAGAAATGGTTAGCGCGGGCGGGGCGTGCGCTGTGCTACCGCTCCGCTGCCGCTATCTCGAGCGGAGC